GGTGGGGATTGGAGCTTCATGATCCTTGAGGTCCCTTCCAACCCAAACCATTCTGTGATTCCATGATTCCCTTAATGGTGCTGTCCTGGAGGAAAGCATCTGCTCTGGGAAATGAAGCACAGAACAAAGGCAGCGTGACGCTGGGAGGACAGGATCACGTATACAGAAAGCCAAGGACAGAGGAAAGAGGAAAGGATCACGTATGCAAAAACCCAAGGACAGAAGCTCTCCTCACCTTCCTAACGGATGGTGCTCAGCAAATTCCTTGCAGAGGGTTTCAGTGCAACAAAGCAGATTAACTTGAGCCGAAGTGACGCAGAGTGGTTGGATATCTCTACAGAACACCACTCAGCCCTGCTTCCATCAGCTCTGCCCAGCTGATGCGGCACGAGACTCAACAGCCCAATGCGCCAACCCAACCTCCTGCTCACAGGTCACTGCTGTCTCCACGCAGCCTTTGAGAGGTCCCAATATTGAGCTATCACCTTCTGAGAGGGACAGCCGGTGCTCCTGGACCCTGCTGGGACACCAAGGAACAAGGCCAAGGTCACTGCTCCAATGTAAGCTCACGTCTCACCGTCTCTTTGTACAGCAGCTGGAGGCCAGGGAGAGAAAAACATCCCAATCTCCACCCCTCCAACCAGCAGTGTCATCAGGCACACCACCACCAGCAATTCCATCAGGCACACCACCGAGTGGATGAATTTTCTCAGCGAGTGGCTGTGGAAAACAAACCCCAGGACAGAGATGGCCAAGATGAGATAGCTCGTGTTAAATGAGTGGAGCGCAGTCCGGGAAAGTAATTCAAGTAGAGATATGATGAATTGCAACACCGGTTGTAAAGGGTTCGTAGTGTCTGACTCGAATGGGAGCTGCATTGCAAGAGTATTAAAGTTTATTGCTGCAGTCAGAGCAGCTGCTACTGCTGGAGCTGAGTTGCCAGGTCTCCTCTATCACCGAGATCCTCACAGCTCCAACAGCTCTGATAAAGATGCTGACCAACGTGTCCCAGTGCTGGTTATGGAGCTGCCTGAGGTGGAGTGGAAGCGAGGAAGGGAGGAAAGGGAGCGGGGATCACATTCATAAGGGCTTTGGAAACATCTCACATGCAGGAAGATTTACTGTTTCTTCTTTTGGCAAGAGTACAGAGGATGAAGTCCAGCAAAGCTCCCAGCAGCAGTGGGAGGTGGAGCTCGGAGAAGGCTGTGGGGAAACTCATTGTGGCCTTCCAGAGCTTGGAGGGAGCGGATAAACAGGAGGGGGAACAGCTGTTTACAAGGATAGATAGTGGTAGGACAAGGGGAATGGCTTTAAAGTGAGGCAGGAGAGGTTCAGGTTGGAGATGAGGAGGAAGTTTTTGAGCCAGAGGGTGGTGAGGCACTGGAACAGGTTGCCCAAGGAGGCTGTGGATGCCCCATCCCTGCAGGCACTCAAGGCCAGGCTGATGTGGCTCTGGGCAGCCTGGGCTGCTGGTTGGCGACCTGCACACAGCAGGGGGTTGGAACTGGATGAGCATTGTGCTCCTTTGCAACCCAGGCCATGCTATTATTCTATGATCAACACCCCTGCAATTTCAAATCGGCAACATTGGAAGCTTTGCACCACAACCTCTCTGAGCTTCATCTGCTAATTGTTCCCAAAGCATGGGAGCCTGAGCCACCAGCCCGACTGATGGGAGAGCTGGCCTCATTAAATTCCCCCATTAACTCTGATAAATTGTTCACAAACAGGTCCATCACTCAGACATTTCCCTTTGGGCATCTGCCCCGCTAAACAAGATTTTGCTTCACTGCCTGAATTCACTTAAAGGACTTAAGGCACATTAGTAAATAATTTATACTTCCTTTAAAAAACAGGAAATGAAATAAGGGACGCTCGGTGTGCTGTTTAGCTGGAAATTGTTCAGCTCTTTACTATTTAATGAACTGCCTGGCTGCTAACAGAGGTCATTCCAGCAGCTCACACCCTGGCCCTACAGCTTCACCCGCCTCTGTGCGAGGTCCGTAAATTGAAACCTTAATGGGCAGCTGGAGAAGAGCAGTGTGCCCTGCTAGTATCATTTGAAACCCATCAGCGTAAGTAAGTGATTCTTAATCAGCTTTCAAGCTTCAGGAGAAATAAGCCGAGGGCAGGAGGAAGCTGGTTTCCCCTGCTCACTGCTCTATATGATGTTTTATCACAGAATCATGGGATGGTTGGGTTGGAAGGAGACTTAAAGCCCATCCAATTCCAACCCTCTGCTGTGGGCTGGGTGCCCCCCACGGCCTCAGACACCTCCAGGGATGTGGCACTCATTGCACTGGTGCTTCTCCAACAGATTTTACTCCCCATGCGCAGCACAGCCCCTATTACTCACCTTTTCCTTCCCCACAGGAGCCGTGCTCCTGTTGTTCCTAACCAGCAGCCCCAACACAAAGCTCTCTGTCCTTTGTTTGGGAAACACTGCATCACGGCGAGGTCTATAAATACACATTAAAAATATTTCTTCCCACCCTCCCTTCTGGTAATGGAAAACGTCAGCCCTGGCCGTAGCTCCAGCAGGACTGACATGCCGCGTCATTTGGAGACGGTCCTGGAGGCTCCACGTGGGGCACCGACTGCTGATGCCAGGCTTGGGGGTGTTGAACCGACCTGTTTCCCTTCTTTTTAGTGGTGAACAAAGCAGCCAGCGCTGCTCTGCAAGAAGCACGGGATCCTTTGGGTTTCTCCTCCTGGCTTCCTCCCACAGAGCCCCCCTTGGTCACGTCCACGCAACGCTGTACGATGGTGGGAGCAAAACTTCTGCAGATCCAGAGATCAGCATCACGCTGTAGGGCTCAGTCATCAGGTCAGGCTCTTCCAGGGGATGCTGTGAGCTCCACTGGAAAAGATGCAGATGTGGCATCCAAGGAGAGGGTGGGCATGGTGGGGGTCGGACTGGACGATCTTGGAGGTCTTTTCCAACCTCTTCTATGACTCTATGATTCCGTGATCATGCCCTCTTTCATTTAGCTGGAGCAGACCATGCCCTCCTTCAGTGCAGCCCTCCAGAGGCAGCCAGCAGCCGCAGGACTGCAGATCAGCACCACGCTGCACTTGTATCCACGAAGTCCTCGCTGGCTGCAGATGCATGAAAACATCCCTTCCTTTCATTCTATTACAGCTGAATGACAAAACCCTGGATAAAACTGCAGCCGAATCGACAGCCTGTGTATAATGAGGCCATCAAACACCAGACACTGACGCTGGGTGACAGCAAGTTGGCCGTACCGAGGCAATTTAACTGCCAGTGCAGCCTCTATAAACATGCAGCACCTACAGCCACTGCTGTCCTCGACTCAGGCACGCAGCCACCTTCCAGATGGATGCACTGCTTTAAAGATCTGAAACCCGTTGGCATAGAATCGTAGAATGGCTTGGGTTGGAAGAGACTGCATAGGTTATTTATGGGAGCCTGGGGATTTGGAGGCTGGAGGATTTTCCCTGTTTGAGGAATGAGAGGAGCAGTGTGCATCCCAGCCTGACTGCAATACGGTGAATGAAAGTGAAGCTGCTGATGGAAGATTCCAGACGGGGAGCAAGGACTGAAAGGACCAAAAATCAGCAATATTTGCTTTGTCTGAGAGATGCTGAACTCTCTGCACTTCACAGAGCCGTCCATCCAAGAGGATGACACCCCTGAAGGGTGGAAAGTAGAACCATAGAACAGCTTGTTGGACCTTAAAGATCATCCAGTTCCAACCTTAAAGATCACCCAATTCCATCTCCCAGTATCGGTGATGTGACCTCAAGGAGACTATGATTCTAATGGCCCTTAACAAGAGGATAGGCTGAGCACTGATGGGGCAGAATTCTGAGCCCTGTCCCCCAGCAGAGCCTCAGGGCTGAGCCTGCCCTTCACAACACGTCATCTGCTGGTGGTAACTCGGGTCTGCCAGACTGGGCAGCTCCCATCAGCCGCCACTGTGGGCAGGATGCTGCCTGCATGGGGACGGATGTGATGACACAGCAGTCAGCCTGAGCACAAGGTTATTTTCAAGGACATTAACCGAAGCCCTCAGAAGCCAGCTTGCAAGGAAGAGCAAAAAGACACCTGACCGGAATGCTAAAACAGAGCTGAAAACTCAGCACATTGTCTTTTCTTTTTTTTATCTCTAAGGAAAGAGAGCTCAATCCGGTGTTAGTGGCTATTTGCTGTAGGAAACAAGCAGATTCAGCAAAAGCATCAGATGACTGCCACCTAGAAAGCTCTTATTTTCAGTATCACAGCTACTCACATCTCTACATAACCTTCCAGCTGCAGTAGCACACGACTGTTCTGCAGAGGCTAATAAATAAATGAGAGCTATTTACAAGCCCTCTTTTCTATAGGAATAATACCCCTCACATCCTAGAATTATCTCCATCTACGTCTGGCCAGGACTTTGAATCAATAAACCGTCCCCTCATCCTCGGATTAGCTCAGATCATTCCGACAGCAGCGGCAGCACTTCTCTGCTATTATATCCCCCGCAGCTCTGCCAGCAGAATGAACACGAGATCCCCTCGTTATGAGAGCAGCAGTTTGCTCTGAGCCAACAGAGCGCTTTGCAGCGCGCCGAGAGCCAGGAGTGGCCGTGGTTCCTGTTCCAGCAGTGCCCAGCACATGGCCATGGAGGGAAGTGGCGCTGATTTGAGATGCAAAGCCAACAGCAGCCAAAAGCCAACGAGTGCAAGACGTTGAGGACGTGTGGGCTGAGTTACAGGAGATCGCACCGCTGCATTCACCGACGCACCCTTGGCTGCTTTTCTCTGCTTCAGTCCCTCAAAAGTGGTGGTGAAGTCCTTCGTGCTCCATCCTCACAGCTCCCAGGGCTGCATCCTGCATTGCTCTTGGCTTCCACTTTGGGTCTACTCCATTTCACCACCAGTGGGAAAGCTCAGAACGTGGAATTCCTGTTCTGAAGTCTAAAATTGACTTTAATTTTGTTTTGTCTTTGGGGTTAAATTGGAATATTTACAATATTATTTTCTGTGAAAGTTAAAAAGTGCCAGAAAAACAGACAGATGCAGTGCACCCTGGATGACAGGATGAGAGGCGATGGCCTCATGTTGTGTGCCTGGGGAGGTTGAATATCAGGGAAAATTCCTCCTCCAAAAGAGCAGTCAGGCACTGGCACAGACTGCTCAGGGAGTTGGGGAGGTCACCATTCCTGAGAGCGTTCCAAAACCTTGGGGATGAGGCACTGAGGGCATGGTGGGGTGGGCTGGGGTTGGGCTGTGGATCTGAGAGGTCTTTTCCAACATAAATCATTCTGTGATTGTGTGAAAAGAGGACCCACTGCAGGGGGAGAAGCCCAGCGGGACTGAATGCTTCCTGGCTGGTTTGCACAGTCCGAGTGCTTTGGATGTAGCAGAGCTGGCGAAGGGATCCACTCCATCCCATGGTGTTGTGGCATCCTTGGATTTGCACAATGCAACGGATCATGCCTCGCTTTTCAGAAACCAGGATATTCTTATGAAGGAAGACTTGAAATTAATAATGTATATCATATTCATATAAGAAAAAGCACCCTTGTAGCCATACTTTTAATTATCAGCCTCTCCTATCTCCTCGGGCAAGTACATTCAAGTGAATCCAAGGTTGTTGCTGTTTCCCATCCACACCTGACAGCCGCTCACCCCGATGCGCGGGCGCCTGCAGACAGACTGCCCTCCGTCTGTCCTTCCCCGTACCGAGGCCCTCCTCCTGGAGAAGCTCATTACTGCAGTAATTTGCCCATCACGCAGAGGTGAAGCTGGACTGGGCCCACAGAACTCGGCTGAGCCCAGAGAAGACGAAGAGCTGCGCAGTGGGATTTAAGGAGCTGCTGTCAGCATTCCCAACGCACCAGGGCCTGGGAGTTCATTTGTCTCTTAAGAAACGATGGAAAAAAAAGAGAAGCCATTGCACAGACAAAACCAATTACATAAGAGCAGAAATGTCCCTTGCAGCAACTGTTCTTGAATTTGCATTAAGAAAAATAAAATCTAAAACAAACAAAACATCTTTTTTGTTTTTTTAAAGGTAAAAAATTGGGACTGGAAGAAAAGAGCAGTTTCAAAATAGAATGGCACTTCATCACAGAGCTAAAGTTAACCTTTGGGCAGTGCCAGCAGTGCTCTGGGCGTGGAGGTGACTCAACCTCTTCTTTCCAATGAGCCAACTAATTGCATTCCCATCCTCATTATGGATTTAGAATGAAAATGGGGCATTCCACAGCAGTGAAATCCCACAGGTTGAGATGGAGCCGTGCACTGCATTCACTGTGTCTGGACCTGGAGGCAAAGCCGTGGTCTGAGCCCAAGCACTGCACATATCCTCCACCTGCAGCAGTACCAGCACACAGCTCCAGGCACAGCACTGCATTTAGGAGAACCAGAGAGCGCCTGGGGCCCTCAGCTCATCTGTTCCCATTCCCTGCAGTGAACAGGGACACCCACAGCTCAGAGCCCCTGACCTTGGGTGTCTCTGCACACACAAATGCAGCTGAGTCGAACCGCTGAGCGACTATTGTGCTTATTTGCAGACCACAGAAATCTCATCTGTTCCAGCTCAGCGCCACTAACGACCTCCCCGGTGTCACTGCAGTGCGTGTATTTTCTGGATGCAATCTGTGCTTCTGCAATGCAGAGGTTCCTGTGCTACGGTGATCCTTCCACCAGATCTATGATGCTCAATCCCCCTGGGTTACACTGCGAGCAGGAGACTGCTTGGTACAGTGAGCACGTCAGCATTTTCCTCTCTGCATGTTTTATTGGCTCATTTGCTGCATCCCTGGCTGCAGTAACTCTTCTTTCTTCTTGTCCCTTCTTTTCTCTTTCTGGTTTTGGATCTCTCTGCATTCCCCAGCTCACTTCCCAGCCAGGTGCAGGGGAGCAGCAGGCAGCAAACGTCCTTCCAACCCTCCTGGTGTTTGTATGTAGTACGGTGGATCTGCAACTGGAGGTACAACTCTGCAGCTGCCTCTGCAGCATCACCCACTGCGCTGCAGTGAACGCTTCCACGAAAGACTGTTTCCATGAATAGAGCACTTCAGGGGGAAGAGATTTTCCTGGAGATCACGAGTGCTGATGCAATCGCCTGCACAGGCGTTGGCTGCGGGGTGTGAGCTGTGGCACAACACAGGGGAATGGGAAACTGCAGGAAGGAATGCAGAGCGAGCAGCAGGGCAGGACAGCGCTTTTGGAGGAGCATGAATGGATGTAAAGAGCAGAGATTCCTCTAAGGGAGAGGCTGCAGGAGCTCAGGGGAAAAGGATAGCAGGTGGGTTGGAAGACTGGAGATTAATCCAACACCGATGCATTGGGGCCAACAGTGCTGCATCCCTGCACCAAGCATCATTCAAACAGCATCACACAGCCGTGTGCTCAGCTGAGAGCCCACTGAAAGCCCAGACTTTATCTGATGGAACAACACCCACCTGTGGGACACTGAAGACAGCAGAGCCTGGCACTGGTGGTTGCATAGGAGAACAGCACTGAGTGCCATAGCACAACCAGTGAGTAAGGTGCGTGCTGCATGGGAAGGGCTCCTCACACAACAGCCAGTCAGCACCACGAAGGGACAACCACATGGGAGAGTTATTATCAATCGCTCCCCCCTTGATGCAGTGATCCTCACTGCATAAAGGCCATTAAGCAGTGATTTTGTGAACTCTGTTGCTGGCTCTCCGTTTCCGGCACTGTTTTGTTCCTCGTATGAATACCACCTCGAAGTGACACTGAGATTGCTTTAAGTATGTGGATAAAAAGCAAAAGATCTAAATTTCTGTGTAGAAGGATAATAAACCAGAAAAGGTTACCCAGAAAAAACTCACGGGAAGGAAAAGAGGCTGCCCCCATCCAGACGGGGGTTCAGGAGCCATGGAGATGTGGCACTGAAGGACGTGGCGCAGTGGGAAGTACTGGTGGATGGATGGACTGGATGACCTTGGAGGTCCTTCCCAATCTTGGTGGCTCTATGACTCTACAAAGACATTCAGCAGTGCCTCGTATCGGGGCAACGCTGGGGATTTAGTTCCACTTTTTTATTATTCAACTTTTTATACATAATAAATACAAACTTTTTACAGCCGATAGAAAGAAAGCATTTGCACCGATGCTTTCAGTGTACTGACACTGTACACGATGAGACGTCGAATACATGCCCTGTATGAAGAAATCATAGTTAAAAGGAGGCATATTTGTACAACTTTTTCCTCTTTTTTTTTTTTTTTTTTTTCCTTTTTTAAATAAAATTAGCAGCTCTTGCAGAAAATATTTTAAAATACAACTAAAGAGACTTTAAATAACACTTTTCTGAAGTCTGAAAGTCCGCGTATGGAGGACACACAGAAAACAACTGGCCGAAGGGATGGAAGGTGGGCACTATGGCAATACTTGCTTTTCTTCTGCGTTGTGAAGCTTTCGACGTTTTTGCAAACAGTTAAATCTTAATAAAAACATTTTTTTTTTTTCTTTAAACTTAAGAACAAGTTTGATAAACACGTAAAAAGACCTCAAACAGATCAACAGGACAAAGAGGTGCGAAAGAATAAGACTTCATTGGACAGTCAGCGGTTCCAGAACCCACCAAGGAGCTCTCTTCTCCCAGTGGCCGCTGGGGAAGGAGATGGGCAGAGCTGGAGATGCAGCCCAGGTGGGGCTCACAGGAGGTGCACAGTTGACGTGAAAATCTGGTTGGATGGTTGTTGTGAATGCAGCCTCAAAGAGTAGCCCTTGGAACTCAACTAAAGGCAGAACTGTTACTGGCATAGAAAAAAAAACGAACATGTAAAGAGTGCATTTCATAGAATTCACAGAAGGGAAAACAGCCTTGTGATGCCTGGAGCTTTCATCTGATGGGTGCTGCTCTTCCAACAACAGTTCACTGCTCACAGATGAAGAACAACCTGCTTTCATCTGCTCCTCCCCTCTCCTCTGACCATTTCTCCCATTTTCTTTTGAACAACAACAAAACCGAGTTTCCTTTCCAGAGGTTTAAAAGTCATTTTGATATCCCCTCTATTTGTTGTGAGAGAGGAATTTGGGACCGCAGCCCCAGCAGCAGCCTGGAGGTCTGCAGACAGCAGGGAACTCTGCAGCTGTGTGAGGCTCCTTATGGGGCTCAATGCTACAGAGCCATCCAGTGCAGAACCTAAACATGGCAGGTACGTACGCGACATGTAACCTAACTCCAGCCAGGTGGTTTGGTGACAGAGATACACTGCTAACGTGGGATAATAAAGCACGCGGCGATAACTGGGATAAGAGCGAGCCAAACACTTAAAAAACAAAACCCCCAAAATCTGTTAAGGAAAGAAAAAAAAAAAAAAAAGAAGCTCAATTTCCAGATCTAGACAAAAATCTCACTTCTCTACCGGTTGGTTTATGCTATGGAACAAGATGTTGCTACTAATTCAGCACCTCCGTATTAGATACTCTATTACTAAATGTACTGCATAAATATTAATACAAAGAACATTTAGTTCTGCTTAACTGTTAATTATTGAAGAGGTGTGCATTAATGTAATTAACGCTGTATGATCTGCTTCACTTTTCCTTACCTATAAGATTATTTTCCTGTTTCTTCCTTCCGCGAGGGCATTAAAGAGGAGCCAGCCTCTCCTTACACTCATTTTTCAGTTCCCTTTTTCACTCCGTTAGATCTGATTAATACCTAATCAGACAAGCAATGCTACTTGAAGAATTGACAATCTTTAACACACATTCCTATGGCAACAGTAATATACTGTACTAACGCACGTGATGGAAGGGCGCTGTGACTAGGCTGCAGCAGGAGGCTCTTTCTCAGCCTCCGTATAGAAATGACCATCTTCAGCCAAGAGAGAAACCTGCTCGGTGCCGATCCTCCGCTCGCTGCTCGGCCCGCCTGGCTTTGTGCTAAGAGAGGAAGAATGATGTATAGAAAGCAAAACAAAACAAAACAAAAAAAGGCACAACATATTCATGACCGTGGGAAGGAGTCCGCCGTGTCACCGTCCCAAAAATCCTCCCTATCTCTTGCTCTATTCGAAGTCTTCATCATGCAAAGGTGCCTAAAAACGAGACCGACCAAATCCCGGGTTTGGTCTTGATTGTAGCACTACTATGGAATGAGTCCAACCGTTACACCAGAGTGATTTCCACGTCCTCAATCTTCTCTGTCGGCCGGCGGTGGTGCTGCTGCGTTGGGGGTGGAGGAGCTGCTCGCACCTGCAACAGCCAGAACCACCACAAAACTCAGCATTTCTGAGCTCACACAGAGGTGCAGCCCTGTGCTCATCCCTTGACTTGATGCCAACATGCAGACCGTGGATGGAAGGTGAACAGGGTGGGGGAAAAGCCCACCCCCTCCACCTGCACCAATGGACTTTGTGGTGCTCAGCCACAGGGTGGGCTTCGGACACCACACCTGTACCTTACATGGGCTGGCAGTGGCAGGAATGCCTTGAGGAACACAAGCAGCTTACTCATATTTAATCAACTGCTGACCTCAATGGCATATACCTGAAATCTAGAGCTATTTTTATACTCTGCCACATCAGTACCTTTCTCACTGCTTCTGATGGAGCGCTAAGATAAGCCTTAGCAATGCCTCGTGGAGGACTATTATCACATGTTTTCAGAATGCACCATAGCGACTTGCTATGAAAAACATGAATTGTGAGCATGAACACCACAACATCACAAAAAAATTCACAATGTTTTCAAAACATACGTATTTAAAATGCAGCACTGAGAAATCCTTTAAATTAAGACACGCGACTGTTGTAGTATCTTGAAAAGACACAAAGTAAATACAAATCTACAAAATGAAAGAGCTGAATCAGTCATTTCACCAGAGAGGGAGATAACTTCCAACTCCTCTGTTCTACCCTTCAATATTTAATGATGCAGCGATGTATCTGCCTTGTGTATCTCAGTGAATAAAGCTAACTCGCTGACTGATGGAATATTCAGAATAGAGTTCTGAATATTCATTCATTCAAAACAAAGCTTCTGCTGCAATTTCATTCATTAAAAATGCTAGGAGAATACAAACATTACATCTTAGTGCAGTGTGGTGTAGGACTTTGAAAGTGATTAATTCAGAGTTAATCCTAGCAGATGGACTTTGCAAGACTGAAGTGATGAAATGTTGCCCTTCCTTTTCTGGCAAGATGTCCCCAGCTAGGCAGCAAAGGCAGCACAAAAGATCGGGGACATCACTCTTAAGCAGTTTTAATTCAAAATCCTTAAGTCAATCTGCAAATAAATGTAACCCCAAAATATAACTGCGTGTGATGTCCAACTGCAGCCAGCACATGGTGTGGCTGGGAACTCAGCCTCTGGAAAAAAAGCAATGGTACAAATCATATGATTAAACTGTTCTGACACTTATTCCCCAGTTCTTCTGTAGTTTTGCACAGCAGTAATGTGTGGCAACAACAGAAGTAATCTCCCAAAGTCTGCTGTAAGTTTATTGACTAACGCCTACAGAAGAGATGTAAAATCCTCCTCCCAGGTTAGATTTCACCATCCATGAAAAGAGGCATGAAGGTATTACAACCATAAAGGCAGATCCAGAAGGGCAGCTTAGATAAAAAGGGGACAGATAAGACTCAAGGTCACCTGTAAACCCAGCCAGGACTTACTGTTTGAACAAGAGCAGCTTTGTTTTGTTCCGGTGCCCACTTATCTCAAATAGCTCTCGCGTCCCATAGCTTTCTCACACATCTACAGTATTATCAAAGGGGTGTGGACAGACCTTTCCTCACACCATTCTTCTGTGACACTGTATTACTACAGGCAGCAATGGGATTAGCAGAACACCGAGAGCCAAACGAGCAGGTGCTGAACCCCAGGCCACAGGAATTGCAGTGCTCTGAGTGCCCCTGCCCCCATCTCCCCAGGCTGGTGATACAAACTGGCTGTATCACCCCACAGCATCAACAAAAACCCAGTTTTGAAACTTACAGGTCGCAGTTTGCCGTATGAAGTTTCAGGAGGAAGTCGTGGAGGCTGTGAGAACCCAGGGGACTCTGAGCTGAAGCTGTTTTCTGAAAGGGTTAAGCAACAGCAAATCAGTGCTGAGTGATGGCTACGTACCAGAATGTGAACAGAGCACTCCTCAGTATGTTTTCTTCTCTTGCTCAGATTGGACTCAGGGAGACCTTACATCTCTCTCAAACTCCTGAAAGGAGGTTGTAGTGAGGGGGGGGTCGGCCTCTGCTCCCAGGTAACAATGATGAGAGGTGAAGGCCTCATGCCAGGGGAGGGTCAGGTTGGATATTAGGGAAAATTCCTTCTCCAAAAGAGCAGTCAGGCACTGGCACAGCTGCCAGGGAGTGTAGGGATGTTCCAGAGCTGTGGGGATGTGGCACTGAGGGATCTGGGTAGTGGGCACGGTGGGGTGAGGTGGGGGTGGGGATCTGAGAGGTCTTTTCCAACCTTAATGATTCCACAATTCATGACATACTATGAGTTGACTCTGAAGGGGTATTGTGCAGAGTATTTTAAAGTTTTCTTTGCTAGTGGTATATATTACAATACAAGCAGTGTTTACACAACATTGGTGACCTTCAGAAGTCCCATTTTTGTCTCTGAGTGTGGCTTAGAAACACAGAATGGCTGAGGCTGGAAGGTGACTGTCCAACTGCTGAGCCCAAAGCAGGCTCCACCACAGCACGCAGTCTGGGACCACATCCTGTTGTTTTCTGAGCATCTTTGAGGATGAAGACTTCATAGTCTTTCTGGGTAACCTGCTCCAATGTTTGATCACCTTCGCAATAAAAATACAAAGCAAAATCTTTGTGTGGCATTTTCAGTATTTTAGATTTTCCTGTTACTTTTTGTCCTTTCACTCCTGAGAGGAGTATGACTCCACCTCTTTCATCTATTTAACAGAATCCTAGAATGTTCTGATTTGGAAGGGACCTTTAATGGTCATCCTGTCCAACTCCTTGCAACAAACTGATAGATCAGGAGGTTGTGGATACCCCATCCCTGCAGGCATTCAAGGCCAGGCTGGATGTGGCTCTGGGCAGCCTGGTCTGCTGGCTGGAGACCCTGCACATAGCAGGGGGTTGGAACTGGATGATCGTTGTGCTCCTTTGCAACCCAGGCCATTCTATCATTCTACGATTCTGTGATCAGCTTCCTCCCACAGTGTTCTCCTGAGGCTGAACAATGCCAGCTCTCAGCCTTCCTCTGTATGACAGATCCCTGTGCTGGGCTTGGCCACCATGTCAATGTGTCCTACTGAGAAGTGAGCACTGGGCAGAGGAGGCTGCATTGTTCTGAGCAGAGGAGAAGGATCACCTCCAGTCTGCTGGCTGCCCTTCCTACTGCAGCCCAGGAAATGCTTCTTTTACTATCACAACACTCACCGTTAGTCGATGGCGACCTGGGGAAGTACTGGGAGCCTCTTTTGTCCGGGCTGTGGAAGGGGCTGGTGGGAGGCTGGTCGTACAGCGGCAGCGGTGGAAGGGTGTGATTCGGCTTTGGGGTGGGGGACACCTGGTAATGGAGAGAGGTGCTGCTGAAAACCCAGCTCCTTACACACACCAAGCCATGGGAAGCCCTCTGAGGCAATAGTATGCCTGGAACTTTTGTCTAGAGAAAAACTATCTGTTAGAAGTGCCACGGTCCATTTGGGAAAGGAAATGCAAAATGGCCATCCTTAACTCTAACCCAAAAGAGTAACCCTTCACACTGACTCAAATGGTAATCCTTTTACCTTAACCCAAATGGGTAACCCTTCACCCTAAGTCAAATGGTAACCCTTTTACCCTAAATTAAAATGGTAACCTTTAACCTTAACCCTAACTCAAATGGGTAACCCTTAACTCTAACTCAAAGGAGTAACCTTTAACCCTACCCCAAAGGGGTAATCCTTAATCCTAACCCAAAAGGGTGACCTTTAATCCTTAACCCTAATTCAAATGGCAACCCTTAACTCTAACCCAAATGGGTAACCCTTAACCCTAAGCCAAAAGGGTAACTCTTAGCCCCTAACCCACAGTGAGTGGGTGCAGTGTCTGCCAAGCGAGCACTGTGAATGTCTCTCTGGTTACCACCAACAGGCCCAAGACATACTTAAGAGAAGCAAAGCTTGGTCAGAGCAGAGAAGCTCTGAGCATGTCCAGGAATGCAGATGAATATACTCCTCATTTTTCATGGTCTCAAAGAATAAAAATAGCGGGACAATGTCAGTAGGACATGTGGAAGCCCAATGTCCAGCACCACAGATAGAGATGAGAATGTGTCTGATTTTCTAATGAAATGCAAGGTTACAGAACTGCAAGGCAATAAACGCATGTGTCAAAAATGACTGTACGACAACATCTGCAGTGTCCTACCTCCCTGAAGTTGAGAAGACACAGACCAGATTTAAGTATGAAAACACTACATCAGGGCTATGGGAGCTCCTCAATTCTCTTTTTGCTGGGTTCTGTTTGATGTTTCAGTCTGTGCCACGAATTCATTACAAGAAGCAGACAGAATTTTCTCCTTGGCTCATTTCCTTTCCGCTCAAATACTTTCCTTTATTCACAAATGTGTTACGTTTGCCAAAACACATCAGTTGCTAATTATTAGGCTGGGTAAGAAGCTAAAAGGTAAGCACTCTTTGTTTTTGTCTTTTTTTTAATTGGTTGCTTTTTATCTGCTGAAGAAACAGCAGATCTTTCCAGTCCTGCAAAGTCTCCCACTTTGGTTGATATCTGTATCATATTTTCGTAACATACAGTACATGAGCAGCCAAAGAAAAAGCTCCAGATTGCCAACGTTCATCTGGGAGTGAAAAGGGTTGGTGTGTAGAAGTTGGGTTTCCTACAGGAAAATGCCCCAACCAACACCTCCTGTCCTCACATACCTGAATATCTCCAATCCACTGAGTCTCTCCATTTTCTGAGGCTGTCAGTTCTTCAACTAACACCGATGGGAACACCCCAACACGCCCATTGAATTCTCCTTCCCAAAAGCCATCATCATCCTGATTCTCCTTGTTCAAGATGCGGATGATGGCTCCTTCTGGGAAGGACAGCTCGTCGTCTGTCTGCCCCTCGTAGTCGTAAAGTGCTTTCACAAAACAGACTGAGGAATGGAAAAAGAAAGAAAAAAAAGAAGGGTAATCAGCATCAGCCTGAGAAAGAAAAGCCAACAAGTATGATATACAAAATTGCTGAGTCAAACTACTTTAGTTTTCTCTAATTTTAGTTAACGTTAATCGCAACTCTATGGGCTAGCCAAGTAAATTGTTATACTGATTCTTGCAATTAGAGAGATGGTTATAAAGAACAGACAAAGGTCAAAAATAAGAAACTCTCACATCCAAATCTGACATGCAGAAGGCACTGAAGAGCAAGCTTTACTCACTATTTCCTTCTCAATGAACACTCACCACTGGAATCTCCATTCAGGCTGCCCGACACCAGGTCAGCCTCTGTGGAATTGTTGGAGGTGTGGGACCGACTGTCCAGTGCAGCAAGGGACTGCAGCATGCTCAGCAGGCTACTGGATGTTGGGAACTGCAGGTACTTCTCAGGGACATAGCCCACCTGGCCAGCTTTATTCCGTGCCTGCAGATCAAGAACACCAAAGGAGCTCAGCTCTATCCTACACTACTCCGAGCTTCTGTCCCACAGCCCAATTTCTAAAAAGTAATAGTGAAAACAGCCTCAGAAAAAGCGATACCTTTACCCAGTCTTCCATATCTCCATCTTCAATCACCTCCAATACCTCGTGTTCCTCTATGGTCAATTCATCTGGCTGAGAAGCCTGAAAAACATAACAGGAAAAAGAGAAAACGAAAGCATTTTCTTATGATGTGACATACTTGAAACTTGAGGGTTCTTCTGACTGCTTTCTTCACTTGAGAGGACTGATGGAAGCAGCTCAGATACCACCCAGCCTATTGAGCCCTATTTACCCTGGTAGCCCTCATTACTCCATCCTCTGCCTGCAGCTGCCTTTGGTAACAAAGAGCTGTGATTCACAACAGCCCCAGCAGCACTAGCAGAGGTAAAGAGCACAAATGTGGCTTTTCAGCAAAGCTGTAACTCAGTGTTCCAGGACAAGGAGCCAGGCAGGGCTGTTCTGCATGCTTCAGCTTCACACAGACGGTGGGTTCTGCACTACAAATCCATATTTCTCACAACTACTTATCAGTTGCAGCTCGTGTGCTCACTTTGCTATTTGTTTTTCCAATCAGACAGAAATTTTAGAGAAAAAAATATCACAAACCTTATAGGAATAAACGACTTTGCAGGTGAGAGGGTAATTTCTAAGAGTACCAGAAGGACTAGAACTGCTGTCATCAAAAACATCCATGCTGTCCTCAAACTCTTCACCTTCTTCCTTCTCTGCATCAGCATTAATCTATTAAAAGCAAGGACGTTCATCAAATTAAATGTGAAGTCAAAGCAGACGTCAAAACAAAAATAAATGAAGCAATAATAAAATGAGCCAAGCGACATTTTGCATTTGTTGCCCTCCCTGTGCATGGTCTATATCATAGAATCATGGGATCACTAAGGTTGGAACACCAAGTCCAATCTGTCCCAGCTGACATCCACATGACACACTGTGGAATAAGGGTATTGTGTCCGTGAAGAGCTGGTTATGAAACATCTGCTCCGAGTGTGCTAACATGAGAAGGAAGACCAAAATGCCTCTTCTGATATATTTTGATTGTCTGTCCTTGGAGATGCAGAGACCTTGAACCACCCCAGGTCTGACCTGGATGTACAACTTTGAGGAGCAGAAAAAAAGATGCTGAAAAGTCATGAGAATTCCCTACAGAAGGGTCTGCAGGAGCCCAGAAAGGCCTCCACTGCTGATTCTGCAATCTACACTCTGTTCCATGAACCAGCAACCCAATGGCTGGAAGATGCTACAGCCCTTCACACTTTGAAATATCCACTTCCATGAACCAACTGTGAACTGTGGATTGTGGATGCCCCATCCCTGCAGGCATTGAAGGCCAGGCTGGATGTGGCTCTGGGCAGCCTGGGCTGCTGCTTGGCGACCTGCACACAGCAGGGGGTTGGAACTAGATGAGCATTGTGCTCCTTTGCAACCCAGGCCATTCTATGAACTTTTTGGCTCTGCAGTGCTGCACTTCTACTGTAGAAATGTTTCTTAGAACTGGGCAGTTGGAAGTCACAGTGAAGGCAAAACAAAGCACAAACTCCATAAAAACATCATTCTCTCCTTCTTTTTAAATGAATTCCATATTTACAATGCATTTGATGTCCTGCAAGCAGCACAAAGGTCTCTCAATTACATTACCTGTAACAGCAGCACTGTATTTTCCAGATGACACTGAAATTCAAAATGATAATCAACTTTTTGGGGGGCTGTTAAGAGCAGGAAAAAAAAAAAGAATTCCTGTCCAAGATTTTACATTTCATCGTTCTATTGGAAGGTCAACCAACTGGACGGGTAAGGAGATACAGCTCCTTCTGAGTATTGTACCATACAGAGGGACCAAACCATCAGGGCTGCCTTCCTTGCCTCCATTGCTTAATTGAAAATACACTGAGAGCACAAACTGTGACACAAGGACAGCCAAGAGCTGCCTCTGGAACAATAACTGCTGCCTGCTTGCTCTTCAAGGCTGAAGTGAAAGTATTGCTTGTCTCCGGCCACAGTATTTCAACAATAATTGCACCCAATGTAATTTCTGTAGCAGTTCTAAGAATTCCATCTACAGCTCGTCCTTGCCTGGCCTGCCAAGGTCAACTGCAGTACCTTCTTACACATAGGAGCTTATGTAAGTGTAGAAGGGGAATGGAAGAGTCAGCCTGTAACCTCCCATGCTGATGGTAGGGGGATGGCATTGGCTGCAGTGCAGAGGGATGGGAGCCCAATGTGCCCAGAAGGAGCTGGAAGAGGTGGAGAAAAGGGAGAAGAAAGGAAAAACTGCTACTACACACCATTAGCACCCTATCACAAATATCACAGAACTCATATAAAATCTCAAACAGGGCAGTGAGGTCCAGAGCTGTGCTGCCCCATGCCTGGAGGTGCCCACGGCCATGGATGGGACCCTGGGCAGCCTGAGCTGCAGTTAGGTATTTAGCACACCTCCAATCACAGAATGGATTGGAGGTGTCCCCCTCTGGTTGGAGGGGACCTTGAAGGTCATTCATCCTGCCATCCAACCCCCACAGCTCAGGCTGCCCAGGGCCCACCCTCGGCTTCAGGCACCTGCAGGGATGGGCACCCACATCTCTGGGCAGCATTGCCAGAGCCTCACTGCCCTCTGAGTGAAGAACTTCCTCCTCACATCCAACCTAAATCTCCCCTCTTTTATTTTAAAGCCACTCTCCCTTGTCCTATCACTGTCAGACCATGTATAAAGTCGCTCCCCCTCTGCTTGGAAGCTCCCTTTAAGTACTGGGAGGGGATGGGGCCATACCAGGTGTGCAGAGCCGTTGTTGGTCACTGAGGGCAGGCTGGCCCAGCGCTCGTTTTCCAGCTCCTCCATCACCTGGTTCATTGCACTTTTTAGCCACGTATCCACGGAGACCCCGATCTGCTTCAGGAGATCGAGACGGGCTTCTGCTTTCAGCTTAATGATCTGCAGAAACAGAAGGGTGAGAATCAGAAATCTCTCAGGATGACATTTCATTCCTTGCCCCAGATCACACGCTCTCGTTTTATTAAGGACAGATAACAGCAGGACAAGGGGAAATGGTTTGAAGTTGAAGGAGGGAAGACTGAGGTTGGATGTCAGGGGGAAGTTGTTTGCTGTGAGAGTGGTGAGGTGCTGGAACAGCTGCCCAGAGAGGCTGTGGATGCCCCGTCCATCCCTGGAGGTGTTCAAGGCCAGGTTGGATGGGGCCCTGGGCAGCCTGGTCTAGCATTAAATGAAGAGATTGGTGGTTCTGCATGTGGCAGGGGGGTTGGAGCTTCATGATCCTTGAGGTCCCTTCCAACCCAGACCATTCTATGCTTCCGTGATTAAGAAAGTAAGTCAGTCAGATCTTTAGGTGTGACTTTCATTCTGCTGACCACCTAAATGCACCTAAATTTCTCCTTTGAAACTGACCAAAAAGGTGACTTTAAAACATTCAAACAACAGAGCTGCTCCTGCGAGACATTAGTTTGATGTCTGCTTGGAATGTGATTTTTGAAAAAGAAGAGAAGCCAACAGAGTAAAATTGATTGTGTGAAATGTATTTTTCTAAGGGTTCATTGCATACATGGATCCAGGATGGAGAACCATTTCCCATGGGAAAGGCCAGCACCACGCAGCCAGGAGAGGTTTCCATTTCTGCATGCGACCAGCCTTTAGGTCAATGGTTAACATCTATGTAAATAATGGTCACAGAAGCAAGAAATTGTGAAGAAAAATGATATATTAATCTTCACCACTCTGCTTTGATCAAGATTCTCATTTAAGAAGTTCAGGGATTGATCCACCAACCAACACGCACACTTAGAAGCCAAAACCTTGCAAGCTCTGACTCAAATTCTGTAAATATTTACAAAAGCAGTGCCTATGGAGGTTCTGAAAGGAAAAGGCTTAGGTGGCCTTAGGGTTTTAGGATGAGTGAAACAGGCATTTTACCCTCTGTTGATCCTAGAAAGGCAACACTTGATGTTTTCCCTTTTGCCCTTATTTATACTATGGTTTGTAGATTTTAAAGCTGTAAGAACATGGGAAACAATAACTTTAAATTAATAATTAACCTTTCCTTTGGGAAAAAACATTGTTTCTAGGAATGCTTATCCAACAGAGAAGTGGATTTCACAGTAAATGAAGCTGCACAGACACACTTCTAAACCAAAAGCATTAGCAGAGAAGAGTCACACCAAAAAGCTGAAGCTGGGGATGCCAGTCTCTGCATGTAAACACAACTCTTGTCTGTTAACTGGAACAAAACCCCTTCGTTACCACTTGTGCTTTGAGAGAAGGTGATGGGGAACTCCATGGTACCAAATGAAAATGAGCACAGCTCCTGCCCCATATGGATGCTCTCTGTTACCCAAATCCCAGAGGAACAACGGCCAGCAATAGAGATGGGTGGATGGATGGATGGATGGATAAATAGATAGATGGATGGATGGGTGGATGGATAAATGGATGGATGGATAAATAGATAGATGGGTGGATGGATGGATGGACGGATGGGTGGGTGGATAAACAGGTAGATGGGTGGATGGATGGATGGATGGATGGATGGATGGATGGATGGGTGGATGGGTGAATGGATGGATGGATAAATAGACGGGTGAATGGATGGATGGATGGATGGATGGATGAATGGATAAATAGATGGATAAATGATAAACGGATGGATGGATAAATGGATGGATGGATGGATGGATGGATGAGTGGGTGGATGAGTAGGTGGATGGATGGATGGATGGATGAACAGATAGATAAATGATAAACGGATGGATGGATAAATGGATGGAAGGATGGATGGTTGGATGGATGGATAATGGATGGATGGATGGATGGATGGTTAAATGGATGGTTGGATGGATGGATAAATGGATGGATGGACAGATGAATGAATGTACAGATGGATAATGGATGGACGGATGGATGGATGGACGATGGCTGGATATCATCCTGGGGCAAAGTAGCCACTCCCAATTTGTCTTTATGTTCTGGTGCTGTATTACGGCGTGAAGACTTTTTGTGTGCCCTCAGCACAAGTTGCACAGAACTGCTCAGCCTGCTTGTTATGCTGTTTTACCTTGTTATGCAATTTCCAATTAGCTCAAGTTACGCAACAAACATTAGTCTATGCATGCTGTAAACATTTGTATCTCCTATTAGCTCTCAGCCCGCTGTAAACCATGTTGTTTGTACCAACTTGTTAGCTAAAATAAACAAGCTGCTCCAAGCTCCCTGGTTGTATTTGCTAGGAGTTTTAAGTCAAGGTATGCAGTAAATGCAGTCGAGCTCCCTCCCTCTATTTACACACAGTACACTTAATATTCAACAAATGCTTGTTCCAAACCACAAATGTTTTGAGTTCCATTCCATTGCAGACAAACCATAGAAGTGCTTAAAGCGTTAGGTCAGGTCTGCACTTGAAAGACGTATAACACTATTTACAAGCAAATGCATGTATTTTTTTTTTTCTTCCCCTAAATGATTGTAGGATTGTATCCTGGTAGACCAGGGCTAACAGCTTCCTACCTATGCGTGTATATTAAAAAAAAATAAATGCCAGACAGTAATATAACCTTATTCTGCTCCTTGTGCAGGAACAGCCACATATTTAAAGACACGACCACTTCATTCAAACATCACTATGCCCAAACTGGCTGTGGCAAACTACTATTATGATGATGCCAGAAGCTGGAACTGCAGCTAATCCCACCATGCAAAGACCCACCTTGCACAAAGGGCACAGCTCCAGCTTGCTCCATCTTCTCTTTTGGTTTTGGTGTGGGAATGGAGCCAGAAAGCCACGCACCAGCACTGAAGACAGGGGATGCTTACAGAAAATCACCAAGGACTGACTGACCTCTGCCAACAGGAACTTGCAGACTTGAAAATATGTTTAACCAAGCGAGCGTTGACATTTCCCACAACACAAAGTGTCTCCAGGAAGGCAGCTTAGCTCCGAAAGCACTGGAATGCTGAAACCCAGCAGTCACTGCAAGAGCTGGACGCTGCCCAGATTGCATTGTTATTAAGCTTCACTGCAGGACAGATATTTTCCTACTTAATAGTGAGATTGCTATTTACTGTTGCTATTTACCAATTACTATTTAATAGCTGAGGTCTGGAATTTCATTATGTTCATTTAGAACTGTCAGCCACCCACAAAGCTTATGAACAGGGTTTGGGTGGTTCCCACTTCTCTCTGCTCTCCTTCTGCCTCAGCTGATGGCACGTTATAAGATGAAAGGAACAAAAAGTTTACACAAATATCAATGTTGTTATCTGTTTCTCACATACCTACCCTTGCTCTACATGGAAGAAGAGCTTTGTTTATTTACTGTTCCAGTCTTAATTAAAAGAAGTCTTTAAACCTACAGCTTGCACGAGATGAAGATAAACAACTGCTTTGGAAATCATGGCAACCAAACCCAGCAAGAATATATTACATTGCTCTTTTCTGTGCCCAGAAAGAAAAAGGGCTATAAGAAACCGAGTGCCCTTTACATCCCACAAACAGCTTGGTTACAAGTCCTTTGAATGGATTTTCCCCTGTACTCAGCTCTGGTGAGGCCGCACCTTGAGTATTGTGTCCAGTTCTGGGCCCCTCACTGCAAGAAAGACATTGAGGCCCTGGAGCGTGTTCAAAGAAGGGCAACAAAGCTGGTGAGGGGTCTGGAGCACAGGCCTTATGAGGAGCGGCTGAGGGAGCTGGGATTGTTCAGTCTGGAGAAGAGGAGGCTCAGGGGAGACCTTATTGCTCTCTATAACTACCTGAAGGGAGGTTGTAGCGAGCTGGGGGTCGGCCTCTTCTCTCGTGTAACTGGTGATAGGACTAGAGGGAATGGTTTCAAGCTTCGCCAGGGAAGATTCAGGCTGGATATTAGGAAATACTACTTCTCTGAAAGGGTGGTCAGGCACTGGAATGGGCTGCCCAGGGAGGTGGTGGAGTCCCCTTCCCTGGAGGTGTTCAAGGAACGTTTGGATGTTGTGTTGAGGGATATGGTTTAATGAGAACCATTGGTGACAGGTGGATGGTTGGACTGGATGATCTTATAGGTCTTTTCCAACCTTAGTGATTCTGTGATTCTGTGATTCTGTGATTATAAAAATGTTGGGGTAACAAGCAAACACAGAAATCCAGCCAAGCCAATCGAATGCAGTCCTTCCAGCACTCTGGTTTGTGACTGTTGGCTCAATTTTGAATGGAGCTTCCTAGAAGTAAAGTTGCTTTATTTCCCATCACTTTTCAGGAGGCAGAATAACATCATGACCCATGAGCAAGGCCACAGCCCAGGGTGCTCCCTTCCTGCTGTCACAAGACAGGATTAATTTTTTTAGGTACGGGCTATACTTACAGGTATTTAAATTGGATGAAATTAGGATTATAAATGGACCTAAACAATCCTTCATGAAAAAACGTTTGATATAACTGCAGTATTTTTCTATTGGCAAGGATGAAATCATTAGCAAGTTGGATACTCTCATCTGGCAAATTGTTTTAGCCAGGAAGGAAAATCCATGGAAAGGTTTTGGCTAAATAAGATATCATCTTTATTATTTTTCCCTGTTAGAGAAACTTATGTTCAAATGCTAGTTTGAATTAAAAAGGTATAAAGTTCAACCATTCTTTTAATGGGAACCAGTGTATCACTTAAATTCTGGGCCACCAGAACTGTATGCCCTGTGTAGGTGGAAGTAACTAAGAGTACAGTAAAAGTAAGTTCTGGAATGGCAGTAATTTCTCAAAACCAAGCATCAGCCTTCCCCTGCAAATGGGTTTTAAGCCATAGCCCAGTGCTGGTAAAGTTGGGATGCTCAAGCAAATCCAAGAAACCAAACCCAAGAATGCAAGGAATGAAACTTTCACAGCCATGCTGCCCTAAAAGATGTCTGGGGTGGAAAGGCAGCCACGCCAACACCACCCCACTCCACAACATCCCCATCCAGCA